CCTGTTAAAAGAATGAAAACATACTACCATTACTATATTTAAAAAAATTGATGATACGGCGACCACCGAGATCTACACAGTTTCTCAATCAGGAAAGAAAAATATCTAGATGTAACTAAAATGACATGATTTTTGTACAAAAGAAGAGATAGGGGTATGGTTTGTAGAAGTTATTTAAAAAAAAAATCTCAAAAAGGGGAAAATAAGAACTGAGCATCAACATAAATCAATGGCTGAATTGATTTGATTGAATCAATGGCAGCATTGGAAAGAAACCAGGAAATAGAATATTGCAGAAGTGCAAATAGCATCCTACCGATTTTCACATACTAGGCTAAATATGAAGCCACTTAATATTTTATAACATCCATCACATGAATAATTATAATTCAGGATGCTGAAAGAATATTTTAAAGACAGTGGAAATATTATAATCAAACAATTGCAATCACCAGGATGGTAGACAATACTCCCACTTTGGTTCTATCTGAAGAGGCCAGCTCATTTTCACTTTGGGATGACATCAAAATTCACTTTATCCCAAATGAATGGTCTTAATACATTTAAACCCCATTGAAGAATTAAATTTGGAACTTTTCTGTGAAGAAGCTGTAGTATGTGACCAGGTATATGTTAGACAATAGCCCAACTCTTTTCTCCAAGGAAGGCAGCCATGATCCAGCTTCATGATACAAACTTGTGTTACTTTCCACAAAGAGTTCAAGCTGACACATGAAATTATATTGTGTTCACCAAAGGGATTGTACTGTCAGCTGTAAAAACTGCCACAGCTAGGAAGACTTGAATTTTATAATGCAAGTTAATCCAACCATTAATAACGGTGTTAGTTGGAGAGGAGGCAGGGATGGGGAAGAGAAAGAAAGAGAGAGAGAGAGAGAGAGAGAGAGAGAGAGAGAGAGAGAGAGAGATTACATTTTCAAATCAGTAACTTTCTTGTAAAGCTTTTGTTATGGTTTTTGCAACATTAATATTGAATCTGCACTATGTCACCTGTAGAATCGAAAGTCTTTGCTATCCATCTGTTTCTCCAGCGGCCAGTTTCATCCCCCCCCAAAACAGGGGAAAGTACCATATGGCAAAGCTATTGAATTTTTAATTTTTTCTCAACTTTGGATACTGACAGAATTAAAGAAGCTGCAGGAAGACATTACTCACCTGCCTCATGTCTCCCTGGGCTGTGAAGATAATGGCTTCTAGACCATCATCTGTATATTGTACATTCTCCTTCGCAATGATTTTCATTAGCCTCATAAGAATCTGGGCATCTGTTAGCTTAGTGTATCGCAGAACTGCACAGCGAGACTGGATGGGTTCTAGAGGGCAGTGAATTTAGAGATGAAATTACATTTATTTCTTGTCTTTTATTATTTTTACAAATAATGCAAGGTGCGGAACATACCTAATACAGATAGTCCTCGACTTATGACCACAACTGAGCCCAAAATTTCCATTGTTAAGTGAGTTTTATCCTATTTTACAACCTTTCTTGTCATGGTTAAGGAATCACTGCAGTTGTTAAATTAGGGAACAGCTGTCAAGTGAATCTGGCCTCCCCATTAATCTTGTTAGGAGACTATAAAAGGTGATCACAAGACCCCAGGACACTGCAACCGTCATATGAGCCAACCATCTGAATTTTGATCATGTGACCACGAGGATGCTACAATGGTCGTAAACGTGAAAAACAGTCATGTCCCTTTTTTCCCAGTGTAGTTGTAACTTCCAACAATCACTAAACAGGACTGCGGTAAGTGAAAGACTATTTGTACCCCTTCCTCCTTTTTCCACCAATCCTATGAGGTGAACTGGGCTAAGATGGTGTGACTGGCCCAAAGTCATCCAGCTGTTTGTTTTAATGTAATTTAATTGCAGGGATTAAATGCAGTTGTTTTAGGAACACTAGAAGAAAATCATATTCAGCATCAACCATTTGTCCTTTTATCTTTAAAATGTCTACAGTGACCAGTAGCAACTGCCAGAATTTGAGGTAGGAATTTCACCTAACTGTGTTGGGAAATGCCAGAAACTGAACACATAGTTTTCAATTATGGGAATATAATCTCTTTTCGATTTGGCCTATGTACTTTGCTTTGCATAAAAGGAAGTTGGTTTTAGCACCCATGTCTGGGTATACTGTGACAGAATGGTCAACATCCTTTCTAGATGTGAATTTGAAGCTGTAGTCAAGCACAGGGTATTCTGATGTCTACCCTCTCTTACTAAACCAAAACCACAGGTTGCCAGGAATTGCTCCCGCCCAAACCTCTGTTTATGTCAAGAGTCCCCTGCTACATCATTCCTTAAAGGTATTCAAAACCAGTATTACTTTTACTTATGCACTACTGCTCCTCCTATGAAGGGAATCCAGAGCAGTGCATAAATAAAGCTTCTTAAAGACCAGGGATGAGTGGCCGGTTGAGTAGGAGTTGCCTTGTGATTACTTCGTTATAAGCCTGCTTGCCTTTTTGTATTATATATTTGGTTTTCATATATTCTATTGTTTCATGGGGATTTTTTCCCTTTGATATATATTTATTATTTAATTAAATGTATATGCTGCCCGTCTCACTGTCCCTAGTGACTCTTTATTTATGAAACCATTTAACCCAATTAATTTGTTATTTGCTGTTTTGGTGTCCAGGGTTAGGCTTATGGAGTTGGGTGGTTTTATAAATATTATAGTAATTAAATAAATAACCCATACAGCAATCTATAATAAAACATAGTAAAGCAATTACATTAACAGAATAACAGAGTTGGAAGGGACCTTGGAGGTCTTATAGTCCATCCCCTGCTCAGGCAGGAAACTCTTTATCATTTCGGACAAATGGCTGTTCAATTTCTTCTTAAAAACTTCCAGTGTTGGAGCATCCACAACTTCTGAAGGCAAGTCGTTCCACTGATTAATTGTTGTACTGTTGACATTAGTTCACTCTATTTTATATTTAATTTAATTCCATTTTTTCACTGTGCACCTTTAACAGAATTAACAAATAACAGAAAGCAAACTTTCTTTAAAAAGCAGCCATCCTGGAAGAGATGTTACCTTACAAATGCCCCAATAAATAAGCATATCTTGAGCAACTATTCAAAAGTAGATGACTTGGGAAAAGTCACATCTCCTCCTTTGAGTTTCATACTTGGGAAGGCCCCACATGAAATCTTAAGCCAGAACCACAGGGAAGACCACAAGATGTACCTCCCAGTGATTCTAATGTTTGGATCCTATTGGATTCAATGACCTTTGAAAGTATTTTTAAAGTACTTTGATATTTAAAAAATGTGCCTCTCATTGAAATCATGTACTCAGTGACATCAAGATTCAGTACCTACATAAAGAGGCATAAAATCATGCTAATTTAAGTTCTTAATTGGCTTAACTTTAAAACATGCAATTTCACACTGCTTGAATCAGTCAATTAGACCTCTCCAAACATTGTTTGCAGCACACCAGCCATCTTATTTACTCTGGTTCAGAGATTCTGGGATTATTTCGCCTTTTGGCTCAAGTCCAGTTTTCATATTATTAAATGTTTACATAGCATGGGTTGATCTCACATCACTGTGGCAGCGTCTGCAATCTACTGACTGTTTTTGAAGGGAACCACGTGAGAAGATCTCCTGCCAAGTGCCTATCACAGAGGCTCCTCACATGATCCTCTCAGTGATGTGCCAAATAATTATAAACAATGCCACCATGGGTGAGTGAGAACTTGTAAAATCTCACAAAGCATTTACACAGTGGTTTTCCAAATGTTCAAGACTGTTCTACAACTGCAATTTTACAGCAGCTTTTCAAGTCTGGTTGTTATTAGTATGTCTGCATTTATGTCTGCATTGAACACCTTTCCTATGCGCTGTCTCTGACGTATTCTTGGCATCACCTGGCATGACAAAGTTCCAAATAGCGCAGTCTTGGAACGTGCTGGAATTTCTAGCATGTATATGCTATGGAAACAGCGACGTCTACGCTGGCTTGGGCATGTCGTGAGGATGGCTGATGATCGGATTCCGAAAGACCTCCTGTATGGAGAATTAGTGCAGGGAAAGTGCCCTAGAGGGAGACCACAGCTGTGATGTAAGGCTATCTACTAGAGGGATCTAAAGGCCTTGGGAATGGACATCAACAACTGGGAAACCTTGACCTCTGATTGTTCAGCTTGGAGGCTAAAGATGCAGCATGGCCTTCTCCAATTCGAAGGGACACTCATTCAGCAGGAGGAGGCAAAGAGGCAGTGGAGGAACCAATGAAATCCGGGGGCTGGACAGGAGACAGACTGTATCTGTCCTCAGTGTGGAAGGTATTGCCCCTCTCAGATTGGCCTTTTTAGCCACACTAGATGGTGTTTTAGGACCTCTTTTCAGAGCACGATACCATAGTCTCTTGAGACTGAAGGATGCCAATGGCATTTATGAGTTAGAGCCAAGAATAAACTTCTGAGGAAATCCACTGCAGAGATAAGTTTCAAATGTAGAACTTCCGTTACTCTCACCTGCTCTTTTACACCAGCCCCTAAGGACTGTGCCTTACAAGAATTCTCTTCAACCTTATAAAGCAAAAGGACATTTAAGGCCTTTAAGCTTCTATCTTTACTTTGACGCTTGCATTGTGATAATAGAAATATTTATTTCCAATCTAGGAATAAGTGAGAGAGACCCACTCCTCCTAGCCAAATGGCCGATGTTCTTACCTATGATTTTGTCAGAAGCATTGCAAGCCAGAGCAAAACGAGTTGTTTTAGAATAAATTTCCATAGTGCGTCTCAAGGCTTGCTGGGCTCCATCTGTCATGCTGGTGGAGGAATAATAGAAAAGGCAAAATAACTTTAAGCCATGAAAGTTCACCAAAATGCCTGTCATCATTGGACAATATACCTTGTCCAGGACATGGTATTTACTAATGTAAACAGTTTCACTCAGGCTGACCTTAAAGGAAACATGACATTAGTACTCTTCAAATTCATGAGTAATTATACAATATAGGTGATTGTTGGAGTGAGGAAAAAAACTTCTCACCTGTCTGCTTCATCCAAGATAATTATTTTATGTCGGCCTTTTGGAAGTGTCACTTTTTGTTGTGCAAACATCTTGATTTTGTTCCTGACAACGTCAATGCCTCTGGAAGTAAAATGCTCAGTTATTACTTGTGATTCACTGATATTAAACCTTGAATGGGGGCAGCATGATTTTTACAAGCTATTTTAAGAGGTCTTGTCAGTTGAAGAATGGAGTAGGATTGCTTAAATTAAACACAGCTCTCCCTCTAACCTTTGATTCACCTGTCATTTGATGCGTTGAGCTCCAAAACGGCATCTTTCAATGCAGAGCCCAGAAGTGCACGAGCCAGACAAAGGATGCTGGTGGTTTTACCGGTTCCTGGTGGGCCCTTAAAAAGAAAATAAAAAATAAAAAGATTCCAACCTGGAATTTGGAAATTGTGGTGTTATTTCTTGAAACATGTCACCCTTAAAGGTTTAAGTCTAGAGAAGCTTGCAGACTTAAAATATAATCAATGGCAGCTACGGTAATTACATGAGTTACTGTCACAAAAAATAGAGGAAGTGCTAATACTGGTACTTGTTGTATTTTATACTTAATAGTTACTTAAGGAACTGTCTCTCCCCAATTGTTTCTATCTGTCTTATCTGACAGGAAGAGTGGCAGGTACTGTCAGCTAGGGAATGACAACTGATGGGAACCACAAGAGCATTTTCTGTCGTGGCTGCTGCCTTTAGGAATATCATTCCCTTGTGATTAGTGAAGGCTAACCTTTTCCAGAAGCAGTGCCCAAAGCGCGTGCACGAATGTGTGTATCCAAACCCCCAAAAGGCAATGCGTACGCCGCCCATGCATGCACACCCCGTCCCCACACATGCACAGCAGAGACCCGATGGCCAGCTGGCCAGTGGGAGGCGCATGCGTGGTGGAGCTGAACTAGGGTGATGGCTCACGTGCCTAGAGAGCGTGCTGCGTGCCACCTGTGGCACGCGTGCCATAAGTTTGCCATCATGGGATTAGCCCAATCCTTGCTGGTCTTTCAAACTTGCCTTTTGCTTTACCTACCGCTGGGCCCAGATTACAGCCAATTTCCTAGCTGTGTGGATGATAGGTAAGGTTATGCCCAGCTGCTAATCATTTCCATTTTTATTTGTTCTTATATTGTGTGGTTTTTGTTTTAATGTAAACCATCTAGAGTAAAAATGAGATAGGCAGCTATATAAATTGAATGAATGAATAATGGGATTCTCATCACTAACTCAGGTGACTTAATTTTTTTAAGATGGCACTTAGCTTGGAAACAAATTACTTACAGCAATAATAATATTTGGAACATTTCCTTCTCTTGCAAACACCTAGGAAAGAGGAAAAAAAGGACAGTTAATTAGAAATGCAAGTTTCTGTACTTGGAAATTATAGTATTTCAAATTTTGGGAAGTTATGGAGAGTTATGACGTAAATGTTTCAAAATCTCTTGCAACTTTCTTATCAATACTTTTTGCCTTCCTTGAGAGTCTTCCATGCCTTCTAAACAAGTTCTCTTTTTAGAATTTGAAATAAGATTTTACAGGTGGTAATATAAGAAAAGAAACCTCTTACTTTTCTCTGTTTAAGTTCTGTACTATGGAATCATCTTCAATCTATATTGAGCAAATAACAAACAAGGAATTCAATGCAACATGCTGTCACTTATGGTGATAAGTGCCCTCAGTTTTGGTATTCAGACAAGAGCTAAAATATAGAATTGTATCCATTACTTTAACCATCTATTATGTTTTTTCCTTAGCCTTGTCTCATGGTAAACAAAAAGACATAAAAGAGAGTATCAGCAAATGATTCACCCTCTGTGATTTAGTGCCAAGAACAAAAACGATATAGAGCCCTTATAACAACACTTCCTAAACTGGTTCTAAAAACAATGTTTGAAGTGAGCCCAACATAGAGCACTAGAGCATTATCTGTAGCCATAGGCAACTGAGAATTCCATGCAGATATTTGGATATTGTCGCCAACAAAGAAATGCAGCTCTGCTTCATTTCAGTGCCAGTTCATTGCAGGAAAATAACTCCCCTAGTTACAAGACCTACTTAGACCACATTTATGAATAGATCTTAAAATTTCATAGCCACTGAAAGCATTCTTCTTACATAAAGTGGTTTACATACCTCTAATCTGCTAACAGTGTCTTCATTGCCAACAATTTCCAACATCTTCATTGGCCTGTATTTTTCAACCCTGTTGGACAAGACACATTAATACTCCCCGCTGTGCCAACGGCAAAAGAAAGGAAATGCAGTTGAAAGACAGGGAACTGAAGCAGAAAATGAAGTTTAGAAACAAGTATGGGGGGAAGAGCAGGAAAAACGCAATCAAGTTGGTAAGTACTAAAATAGTTTCCCCCAATTGGCATCATCTTCTAGTTCTATTAAACAGCATATTGCCTGGATTCATACAATAAACTAAATTCTAAATTGAGGATTAGAACAAAATACAGTGGCTGATTTCACGTGACATATTATGTTCACATCATGTCATGGTGAAGACCTGGTTTCCACAACATGCTGACCATGTTATGCAAACTCAGAGATCATTTTCAGAAACCATAGGAGCATGTTGGCTGGCTAGATATCTGGAGAGCTTCAAGTTGGGGAGGCCAAACTGTATGAGGTCTTCTGATTTAACAGAGGGTTGGACTAGAAGACCTCTAAGGTCTCTTCCAGCTCTATTTTGATTGATTGAAATAAAGAACTGCATCATTTTTTTGCATCATAAGGTATGGATGACCTATGTAGGAACTTAGCCTATAAGCATTTACCTGCAGTAAATTGTCTGTAAGAGCCATATAATTGTTTCCAAAAACATTTGGAAGAACCAATAAAGAAGAATATTTGTAGCTCAGGGTTGAAATGAGAAGTTTTTGGTGCTCTCTGAGCTTGAATTTTTTTCTTGCAGAAGTTTCATTATCCAAACTAGTTTGGTATATTTTGCTTGCACATAAACAGATACGTTCCAAATCTAGCAGCTCCATGCCCAACATGCAAAGCTTCGTTAGTATTAACCTGGACCAGGATTTCTGTGACTTAGTATAACCGCAACTCTGAGTCACTGGGAGTTGGGCAGCATATTTATTTAATATTGTTATTCTGCACAAATGAAACTGCTTGCTAGCTAATAGTTCTAGGGCAGCATCAAACACAAACTGGTGAATTTTGAAAACACTAGAGATGCAATTGAGTCCAAAATTTCTGTTAAGTGAAACATCTGTTAAGTGAGTTTTGTCCCTTTTTGTGACCTGACAAGCAAAGTCAATGGGGAAGGCAGATTAACTTAACCATGTTAGTATTTTAACAAGTGCAGTGATACACTTAACAACTGTGGTAGGAAAGGTCATAAAAAGGGAATCACATGACCCTGGGACACTGCAATGGTCATAAATATGAATCGGTTGCCAAGCGCCTGAACTTTAATCATGTGACTCTGCAATGGTTGTAAGTGTGACAAATGGTCATAAGTCCCTTTTTTCAGTGTTGTAAATTTGGACAGTCACTAAATGAACTGTTATAAATCGAGGACTACCTGTAAACCTGTCTTGTGGGGATTTATCTGGGAATTGCAGAGATGAAGGGCAGCCTGGAAAATCAACCAACAACCCAGAAGAAATCTATGGCAAATAATTTTCATTTGCCAAGAAAACTGTAAGGCTGCTTCTATGTAGTCCACTGGAGCTGAATTTAATTTAGGTGAGAAGGGGTTCAGCACAGTATGCAGATTAGGTGAGTGTGTGAATACTGCCATCCCGATCACAGGTTTCTGTAAAGCCTCTTTCTCTCTCTGTATGTGTATGTATACACACATATACACACACATACACATATGTAATTTCTTATTATACATAAAAATGTGCCATTCAGTTGGGGTCAATTCTTTATCACCACCTGGATAGATCTGATGATCTATCATTAACCTGATCTTTTAGGTTTTCCATCAGTGACTTTCTGAAATGCCCCTGCAAAATCCAATTTATACCCCTTAAATAATCTATCATCATTATATTTTCATCCCACCTTTAAATATGTAATTCTAAGTTATGAACTTACCTAATACTCCTTCCTCCTAAATTTCCCCCAACAGCAACAACCCCATAAGGTGGATGGGCTGAGAATTACTGACCCAGAGTCACCCAGCTGTCTTGCATGCATAATGGAGACCTAGAACCCGCAATCTTCTGATTTGTAGCCTAGCACATTGACCTAAACTACTCTTTCATTCCCCTCCAAAACCTAAAAATGCCAATGCAAACCCCCGTCGGCCACTAGAGGGCAGGAAAAAAACACTTTTAAGCACTCCCTCGAACTTTACTGCCACCTAATGGCCGGTCAGAGTTTTGCAGCCCAGGTCTAAGCGGCCCCCAATGCAATCCCTCGCCACCCACCTCCCCAAAGTCACTATCTTAACGCTCCCACAAAAAGAACACCGGCTTCCTATTGCTGCGCCATCAACCTAACCGTCCGAACCCACTTCCCCCGCTTCACAACCCTCAATAACATCCTTTGGTGGGCCTGCCCTTCCTCCCCGGTTCTGTTTCTCACCAGGGCAATTCATAATGGCCGCTCCCGGCGGGAGAAGTAGAAGTAGAGGCGACATCAGCAGCGCTCCCGCCTTCTTTCCCTCCTTCAAGCAACTTCCCCGTACCGGGTGCCGCCATTAGCGCTTCCCGCCGAAAGGCTTCCAAACCACGCCCCTATTTACGTCAAGAAATGCGCGGGAGGCCATTTCGACTGAGGGCAAAGACAGGGTTAGTCATGCGGGTTTCAAAAACTGACGCTCACGCGATCCTTGTCATTTCTTTGCCCTTAGTTGGGTGGCTTCTGTCCTTCCTGCTGTCGCTGAGCGTCCCTGTCTTCTGATGCCCATCAGAGGAGTCGGGTTGAGAATCTGGATGTTTATCATGGAAGCTGTGACTCTACGATAAGAACCCACCTGGAGGATTCTGATTTAATCCAAAATGACAGTGACAAATAATTTCTTAGTTTATATGTTTAAGCTTTAACTCGCTGCACGGCAGGCAGAAATCCAGCCGGTGAGGTTTTTTTTCTTGTCCAAATATTTTAACAGATAACAGATAATCCGAGTTGGAAGGGACCTTGTAGGTCATCTAGTCCAACCCTCGCCCAAGCGGGAGACCCTACACCATTTCTGACAAATGGCAGTCCAGTCTCTTCTTGAAAGTCTCAAGTGATGACGCTCCCACAACTTCCGAGGGCAAGGCAACTTGTCATCTCATCTTAGTGGGAGATCGGGAGAAGCAACATTTGACCGAGTGTATGGAGCTTATGCCCAAGTCAGCCATGGGACAAAAATGGCATGTTAGAATTGCAGAAAAAAGTTAAGATTAAGAAGAGATTGGACAGCCATTTCTCCCGAATAATATAAGGTCTTGAGCAAGGGGTTATATAAGACCTCCAAGGGCCTATTCTGTAAAATTGCGTTACATTCAGATGTGACAATGGCTGTGGGTATTCCAATAGCAAAGACAAATAATATAAATTATATATACATATAATTTAACAGCAACACATGACAGCAACTTAATTGCTTACAAAGAGTGGTAAACAAAATCATAAGCATCACCTTAAGGAGATTAATATGCAAAGCACCAAGAGACAGAGAATGTGTCATTGAGCCAATGAATTTGAGGAGACTAAAGTTATCTCTCTAAAAAGACCACACACTGATGCCTCTTGTTTTCCTGTTCATAAATTTAATAAGAGCTGCTGTTCAGGAGCTGCTCTGGGGCATTAAATGAGTATTAAGTATTGCCCAAAACTTACTATTGCTTGAGTTGTTGAGGCCTCCTACTTCAAAAAGAAAAATCAATCCTTATTAAATAAATGTCTTCTTTATTCCTTTACCTAACATAGTTGCTCTTGGGATTATGGTTTCCATGACCACAGTATGGAAGCAGTGTGCCCCAGCCACGTGCATCCACAGAGGGAAGGAAGAGGGGATAGGTATATATGCATCACATTGTCATTGCACAAAAGATGCAAATAATCTACTCCATGTCACATATGTCATGTTGTGAATGACTCAGATTACATCATTTGTGTCATGAATGCAATGACATCGTGACATGTATGACTTTGTCCTGACTTCTTCCAGATGCTTATGGTTACAGCCTTTTTCTGGGATTTCCCCCCAGTTCTTAGTAGTGATCTCCTATCTTTAATAATCATATCCAAATCTCTTTGGTTTTTTCCAAGATCAACTAAGATGGATTGGATGTTGCTACTTGCTGCAACATTTTGAGATCCTGAGCAACTTGACATGTTATTAAGGACTTGGAATATTGGGAATACTATATTTTTACTCCTTGTGAATTGTTGAGATCTGTGAATAGCAGCATGGATTAACTGCAAAACTGCAATTGGCAGTTTTTCTGTAAGGGAGGTACACTGGCCCTGCACTGAATCTTTCCTCCTGGTCTGGTCATTGGGTCCCCCTCCATAGGAAGAGGAAGAGGAGAGCTTCCTGTTGATGTTCTACCTTGTGACAGATGACAGAATTGCAGTTGTCCCGCCAAGGTGACCATAGAATCCTCTATAGAGGAGAAGGAGGAGAATGACTCTGTTGCTTTTGTATCTTGTGTGAGCAATAAGATGTTTCTGAATTCATTTATGTTCTATATTCTTGGATTATTTAGCACCAAATGCTGGATTCTGGTTCTCAAACAGCTGTGTACAACAGCCTAACATTGATTTGGTTGGATTTGCATACTGCATCTCACCCATATGCCTTTCTCTGATTGTGTTTATTCAGTGACCAGTCATTGTGGTCTCTAAATCCTAGTTTATAGTTTAGCATTATTGCCTGTCCAGCCAATTGTGGTTTATTTAATGAACCAAATTAAGCAGGCTACAGCTTAGAAGAATAAGCGAACCAGGCCAGAATCATTTTGCAGTGTATGATTGATTCCATTGGATTCTGTTGGAAGGAATTCAGTTCATTCTGTTCCTTTTTTACTCTGTCCTTGCAACCAAAAAGAAAATCAGTTTCACCCCCTTCCTATCAGCCCACCTTCAAAATGATGAATGAGTTGTTTCTTTTTCAGAAGCTGAGATTGTAAACCATTAATGCCAAACTTCTTGGCAAATAGCCAGCAAACAAAGGTTTTTTTTGGGTGTCATTCAAGCTGTTGTCGCAAGAACTGTGCAATACCCGTTTGGAACTGGGTCACTGATTTGCGGCCTCATTGGGACAGAACAATAAGTTGCAAGAGCTGGCTTCTCTTTGTACTGTCTTTGTCTGCTCCAGGGATGACCTTGACCCGAAAATGATGGATAAAGTAGCTGTAAGGCAGCATATGGCTTACAATAATAGGGAGAAAACTGCAGAATTTTTTCCTGCACCAGCCTTCACTAAGCAGGCATCCAATGGCCAGGAGTCCCATCATTTTCAGCCATTATAATAAAATACATTTGAAGGGCACCAGTTTGAAGGAGGATGGGCTATACGTTGGTTAATATCTGTCCTTCAATTTGCTTGGTGATACAGGGCGTACCATAAGGTATCTGGAATACCTGGGAGCCATATTCCAAACATCTTGGGACATCAGGGTAGAGTAGATTGAAGTAGGGTTTCCACTATTCTCTGGTTGTTGTTTTTCCAGACCTCTTTTGTTCTGCAAGTTGTCGTTGCTGGACATAGGACTTGTTTTGCACTGCAAGAAAATTGAGGGGTCTCTGACTTGTATGATTTGGTTTTTATCCATGTATGTCTTTTTTTGACTTCAACTCATTATGCATATTGACATAATAATTTTGAGGTTCTCTATGTGAAAGAATCTATATAAGTGAGAAAATGTTAAAAGAGCAGATCTAAGAGCTGTATGGTAAAGTTTCTTCTGGGTGCCACAGTATGTTTAATTTTTAAAAAAAGAATCTAAGTAAGCAGCCCTTTATGCAGAATCACAGTTTGTAGCCAAAAAGGGTATGTTCTGGCTTGCTTCCAGAAGTTGTGGATGCTCCAACACTGGAAGCTTTTAAGAAGAGATAGGACAGCTATTTGTCTGAAATGGTATAAGGTTTCCTGCTTGTGCAGGCAGTTGAACTAGAAAACCTGCACAGTCCACTGCAACTCTTTCATTCTGTTATACTGTAATAGTAATATGAGAAAAAGGAGAATCTAAAGAAGGGGTTCCTGATTTCTTTGCAGCAGTTAACAAAAATAGTGATCACTACTCCCACCCTTCCAAATGACCCTGTGTGGCCTGGACCACATATCTAGAAAGGTGTCTTGTTTAATAGGGGAACTCAACAAAAAACAAAAAGGATGATGATGATTCCGGTTCAAAATGTGAATTTATCTATGCATTAAATCTATATTATGAGTTACGTAAATCAAAACTGATTTTTAGTAATATGGACTGAACTCACTTCAATGAACAATTCCATTCCATGATTCATATTGTATTGATCGTGTGAACCTCTTTAGCTCAGATTCAATAGTGATTCTTAGCCCATTGTGATATGTATATATCAGATTATTCATAACTTATCATTGATATTTTGGAAAATAATAATCTTTTCATTTTAAAATGTGAACATATAACAAATGGTAAAGATTTTTAAAATTTCATATCAGTTTTTGTTCAGGGTGCAGTTCCGCCATATATTTTTTCTTTGGGGTAATTAGTAAAGATGCCAAAACTAACTGATTTGATTAGAGATAATGGACTAGACAGCTTTATTAGAGGCTGGAAGCCGTTTGTGGACTTTCTGTGTTAAATAGAATAACAGATGGTTGACAGAGGGATTTGGGTTACCCTGTTGAGTGTTTCTTTTCTTCTATATATATTATTAGATAATGGGACAATGTGATTATTAGATATATTTTCTCATCTGGAATATTTATTTAATATAGTATTTTTGTCAAATAAAGATGGGAAAACTTATAACTATTTGTAGACCCACAATATAAGGGGAAGAGAACCCAGCATTTTTTTCTATTTTTCAGCATCCAGCTGGGGTGGATTCTTTATGTTCAATGTTAGATATATTTGACATTTGGATTTTTTTCCTCCCCTCCTCCCTTTTTATATACATTAAAAAACACTTTTTTTCCTTTATCTTCACTGCTAGTGTTGGATGTTCGTTTTTCTCTTTCTCCATTTTGTATTTTATTATTGTTGATAAACAAAAATAAAAAATATTTTTTCTTTGGGGTGATTTTGACTTAATGCGTTGAAAGAAATATAGACAAAAGAAATGGTGTGTCTGTTTTTATCTTCCCTCCACAAACACCACTAGAAAGCCATTGGTTCCTAAACTGTCAGATACCACATTGTGACTTGCCCAAGGTAGCTCAGCCATATTGGACAATCATCATATTTTCTTGCCCAACTTACCTCATAAGAGTGTTGTGTGGATAAAATTAAAAGATACCCATATTTACATTCTTGAGTTTCAAAAGAAAAGCTACATAGTATATAAATTTTATAATTGGTTAGTACAGGTAGTTCCCGACTTATAACTACAATTAAGCCCAAATTTTCTGTTGCTAAGTGAAACATTTGTTAAGTGAGTTTTCCTCCTTTTATGACACAGTTGTTGAGTTAAACACTGTGGTTGTTAAGTTAGTAATATGGCTAACAAGTGAATCTGGCTTTCCCCATTGATTTTGCTTGTCAGAAGGTTACAAAAGGTGATTACATGATCCCATGTAATCACTCCACACCGTGACCA